GGTGAGAGGCTTCACCAGAGACAGAGTGGGAAGCAGAACAGGCAGATCACGAAGTACACTGCTGAGGGGAGCAGCGGGTGGGTCAGGAGAGGTCTGCCTCGCCATGTGATCGCCTCTGGAGCAGGCGGGAATCGAACTCATGAGGAAGTGGCTTTAGATTCTCAGTGCTGTGCTTTAACCGGCTGCACCACCAGGGAGGGCCAGTTGTTCAGTCTCTTCTTAAGACAGTTTTATATGACCTCAGGGAATTGGGATATTGGAAACTAAGAATCTAAATTTTTCTGTTACACATGGCAAAGAAAAACAAAAAAGCTAAAATGTGGGTATGGTGTTACTATCTCTTAACATTTAATGATTCATTTCATCTTTCAAAACATTCTAAATTTGAGCCTATCTTGATTTCAAAGCCCAACTGTCCTGATTTAAAGTTTGCAAAAATAAATTTTTTCCTGAAATTCTTTCAAACTAGAGACTTTCAAGTCTAATTTAATGTGATGGTTTCCCATGTTGTGCAAAGCAGCATTAGAGCTTGTTCTAGAATTAGAACCACCACTTTACAGTTATGTCTGCCTCACCTGAAATAACGGTACTTGCTCAGCTCTCTGAAGGCGCTGGTGCAGGTGAAGAGGCTGTTTGTGGATTACATTGCCCTCCCAGCATCCCCACTTCGGGAATAATGGTGCCGGCAGCGGGTGCTCCCCTGTCCCTGCTGCAGGGGAGAGCAGGCTGCTAGTGGAAGCAAGAGAAATCAGGTTTGTGGTTATAAGGTGATGGCCAGCTCAGTGTTTGCCATGAGCTAAAGGGTGGCCTTTGGTTTTATTTGGCTGCCCTGCAGATGCCGTGTGGTTTATATTGCCTAGCTCATTGCAAGACTCACTAGGTACGTGCACAGGCATTAGAACAACTGTTTGAATGAAACAGCATAAAATGCTCCTAGAGTTGTGAAAATTTTCTGAGGCAGAACCTGCTCCTTGAAGGGGAATATTTTTTATACTCTTTAAGGTAAGGTTTCATGATGAGTCTATAAATGCAAATAAAGGAGGGGGGGAAATGGCACAGATTTGTCAAGGGAAGCGAGGTGAATATATGGAAATAGGAAAGCAAATGCTGTCAATATTGAGCATTTTAGATATAAAATGTTTCACATTCTTGTTGGATATTAAACTTGGCTCAGTTTTGGGGGTGTAGTGTCTTTGAGTAGTTACACTATGAGAGCTGTATCGTACAACTGTCTGAAACTACGAATTTGATTAGAATTTCACAGGTGAACAGTGGACAGAGGGGACTGACCTATGCTGTCTTTAGCATTACAGCCACACCCTTGCTTAGTAATGATTGTGTCTGCTTTCCAACTTCAGTAGGCAAAATTGAATAACCGAGACCTTGACTGTATGACCTGCGGGTCCTAAAATGTTTACTTGACCTTTGAAAGTTTTCTGCAACTACTGGACCATGGTGATGGCACACGGGTGATTTGGTGATGGAAGCCCACAGGAATTACAACTGAGATGGAAAAAGGCACAAAATGATGGAAAAATAAACTATTACATCATTAAAAAAGAGTTTCCTGCACCTTAAACTGCAGCCCTGCTATTCCCTCTGTTCCTTGAGCCAATAGTGCAGGCATCTTGTGGGGACCGGTTAGATTTTACTGGATAGAGGGTTCTGCTTAAGACTTAGAAACTGGGGGTCTGCCGTTTAGCGACCTCCTAGGTAGCTCATGCACACAGTAGTGTGAACAAAGGCAAGGACGGTGTCTGGGAACACATCTCTGCTCCCACTCAGAGGTTTCCATTAGACAGTAACTGGCTTTTCACTGGTTTTAGATATGAACACAGCAAGCTGTTGAAGCAGGAAGAAGCGCTTGCTGCAGACCTAAGTACAGAACCACCCCTTGCTGCCTCGAGTCTCTCGGCAGTAGTTGGGCCAGTTGCTGAGATGAATCCGGGCGAGGCTGAGTCCAGAAGCTCCAGCGTGGCAGCTGTAGGAGCAGGCCCAGAAGACTGGGTGAACGCCATTGAGTTTGTGCCCGGGCAGCCCTACTGTGGCCGCGGTGAGTGTTTTGAAGAATAAAAACAAATTAGAGGCTAACTCATTGAGCTGAGTTCTCAATTTTCCCTGCTTCCGGTTTTCGTATTTAGCCTAATCTTAGATAAGCTAACTTAATGTATTCAGACTTATGTGGAGGGTAAAGGACGTTGCATCCCAGTAGAAATGAGTCTTAAGAGTATGAGGGAAAACTGAAGGCAATTATGCAAGAAATACACAGAAATCTTCACTTGCTTCCTTTTGGAAGTTTCAGCATTAGAAGAAAGTGCAGCAGTTTAATGTAGACTGTTGCGGTTTAATGAAAGTTCTTTTCTGTTAGGCACTTAGTTGCCTTATAGTTTTCATATTTGCCGCCTGCCTCCGTCTTGGACCTTTACTACCCTCTTAACCATTTTCAGCTGCCCCTTCCTGCACTGAAGTACCCCTGCAGGGCTCGGGGACCAAGGAGGAATCCGAGAAAGAGCAAACAGCAGTGGAAACAAAGAAGCAGCTTTGCCCCTACGCTGCGGTGGGAGAGTGCCGCTATGGGGAGAACTGTGTGTATCTCCACGGAGACGCCTGTGACATGTGTGGGCTGCAGGTCCTCCACCCAGTGGACGCTGCCCAGAGATCACAGCACATAAAGGTAAGCCTGGGGAGAGGTGTGTGCTAACAAGTGGGGAGCAGCAGTCCCCTCACAGCGTGTGGCTTCCTCGTCCTGAGAAGCCTCATGCCCACTACTAGATAATCACTCGGCTTTCCTCTGCAGGGCCTGGTGACAGTCAGTCCACTTTGCCTCTGCATTTGCCTGTCCTGGGGATTCTGTGTGAATGGCTCATGTAGCCTCTGACCAGCTGCTCACAGCATACCATGTTCAAAGCTCCCTTTCATAACTCAGTTCGTTATGAGGCTATGCCACGTTTGATTTACCATTTACTAGTGGATGGACCTTTGGTTTATGACAGCAGCAGTCATGTGTAAGCTCTTGTGACCTGGGCACTTTACCTTGGCGCTGCTGCCGGGCCAGGTGGTGCCTCTGCTTGGCGGTGGGGTCGCTGCTGGGCGTTCCTCAGCTGTGTCCCTGCTCGCCTCCCGCCAGGAGCACAGGAGGCCTCTGACATGCTCCTTTGTGGGGGATTTTTTTGTTACTGTATAATGTATTGCAGACCTTGCATTTATTGGAGCAAATTTAGCTAATAATTATTTCTATTAATAAACGTTAATTTGGTTGCTGGAACAGGTGAAACATGGTTAAAATTAGATATAACTTGAATCCTTATTTCATAGCATATTGACAAGTGAGTTTAGCAGGTTGGATCCATACAGATCTTTCCTCTGTCTGGGGATCAGTAATGCCTGTGCCTACAGGAATTATTTTTTAAGGATTAGGGAAAAGACAGGGAAAGGGTTTTGTGGGATTTGGGGTGACTTGTACTTTTGCGCTTAACTATTGTATAATTAACATTCATTATAGATTAAAAATGTCAAGTTCACACAAAACTTGGAATATTATCCATGATAACTCCTACATGGGAGCAATGGAAATGCTGGTCACCTGATGTATTGCAAACAGGGCCTAACCATCTGGTGGAGTATTACTTGGCAATGACAGCTGCTGCTACATTCTAGAACTCAAGTATGCTAAGGGAGGATAGTCATGAAAGGCCATGCTTATGAAATGCAAGTCCAGATTTTAGTGGTCGCGTGAGACTGGGAGGTTTGGGAGAACGGTGGCAGGGGTGGTGTGTGGGTTTTCTTTGGGAGGGAGTTCAAGATGATGTCCGCTGGGTTATGGTGATGGTTGCACAATGGGCATATAAAAAGCCAACTGAGTTACATAGTATGAGTTCATTATATCTCAGCAAAGCGGGGTTTTTTTTTTGTTTTTTTTAATAATAAAACTCCACATGCCTGCATCTATTACCTAATATTATTTTATCCATGTTTTCTGTCTTATGAATTAGAGCCTTTATCCTAATTACAATTAGACCTAGAAGTCAGGATGTAACAGCAAAGGGGTTCAGCTACAGAACAGAGAAACTGGGTAGTTTTTCCATTCCTGAAGTTGATTCCCTGTTTGTTTGTCTTTATAATAAATAGTGCAGCGTCCCCAAAGGTCAGTATACTTGTATTTACCTGAGATTTATTTTGATTTGATCCTGGGCGTTACCTTTATCATTGACAGAGCCTCCGAATGTACCGTTAACTGTCAGGTTTGAGCCTCTGCGTGTTCGGTGACTTCCTGCTTTTCTCCCCCTTTCTGTAGTCTTGCATTGAGGCCCATGAGAAGGACATGGAGCTCTCGTTCGCTGTGCAGCGCAGCAAGGACATGGTGTGCGGGATCTGCATGGAGGTGGTCTACGAGAAGGCCAACCCCAGCGAGCGCCGCTTCGGGATTCTCTCCAACTGCAACCACACCTACTGTCTGAAGTGTATTCGCAAGTGGAGGAGTGCTAAGCAATTTGAGAGCAAGATCATAAAGTGAGGCTCCTCCCCGGTCTACGTTTGTGCTTTCTATTTTGGGGAAGAATTTAGTATCTTGTGCCAACTTCCAACCAGATGGACCGCACTTAAATGCATGCATTTTATCTTGAAACTGGGGTATTCTTCTAATTGGTTTTTTTTTTCCTTTGTATTTCAGCTAGCTTCTAGGTTAGTTGGCATACCTACTTTCATTTGAATGAGGAAACCCTATGTATCAGTTAGAATCTTCGTGCTTTTTCTGAGGAGATTGTGTTTAATGGATTAGCCAGTTTAGGCTCAGTGAACAAACTTATCTAGCTCTGAATGTATGTTTCCTGACGTTTTACATTTTCCACTTTCCTATTCCATCCATTAAGCTAGCTAATAATCCACCATCCTTTAAAGATTGTTCTCATAACTGAACAAAAACTACATAATCTAAACAGAGCAAAGTTACAAGAAATAAATTTATTTAAACGAAAGCAAAAGGAGTCTGTGTGAAATGTCTTTTGTTGTTGTTTTTGGTTTTGGTTTTTTTCTTTTTTCTTTTTTTCTTCTTTTTTTTTAATGGACTGGCTAGCCTTTGAGTTGGATTTATAAAGGAGCTTGCCTTACCTCAGAAGAAGTGGTCAGTTATGTGACAGTGTGTGGAGCCTTTCAGGAAGTGCCTTCCAGCTAAGTCTTTAAATCTGGAGGTGACACACCGGGTGTGTCCTTGCAGCGAGGGCCCGTGGCGGGGAATTTGCATTGTAGCCTGTTCATTGTTTCCCAGGTCCTGCCCCGAATGCCGGATCACATCTAACTTTGTCATTCCAAGTGAGTACTGGGTGGAGGAGAAAGAAGAGAAGCAGAAACTCATTCAGAAATACAAGGAGGCAATGAGGTATGAGCACTGCAGCCTTTTCTCAAGCTAAGACCCCAGCGCGGCTTGGGCTCACTTGGAAGAGAACAGTGCTGCTCTGTACACTCCTACCTCCTGCCCTTTCTTTGACTTCCCAGTACGGTTTGCCTTGTCTGTCCTGATCATGGCACCTGTTTCGTGACTTGCTGTGATGCAGTCCTTGGGGTGCTTACCACGGGGCTGTGTTAGGACAAGATGTGTTTGCCGGTCGAGCCTTGAGCGGGTTCCTTAGTTTTCTGAGTCTGTGTCCCAGTTGTCTTACATTCTTGTGTGGGCTTTCTAGAAGAATTTCTCTGGATCCGTGGCATTAAAAGCTGTTAAGCAGCCTAGACTTACAGTTCGTGTCATGCGCACACGTTTTAGAACACACCTTGGGGAGGGCTGTAAACAGACCTACTGGTTTCTGACCCTTGTTTTAAACAAACCCTGGATGATAGTCAGATACAGGTCTGAAATCCACTGTGAATAAGGGTTGCGATATTTTCCTTTCCAGCAACAAGGCGTGCAGGTATTTTGATGAAGGACGTGGGAGCTGCCCATTTGGAGGGAACTGTTTTTACAAGCATGCGTACCCTGATGGCCGTAGAGAGGAGCCACAGAGACAGAAAGTGGGAACATCAAGCAGATACCGGGTAACTCTCGCTGTTTTTTTAAAGGAGGGGAACGCCTCGCTGGCAGTCCAGCCCTGCGCAGATTGGGGTAGGGGAAGGAGAAGATGAACACTCAGGTCCGGGAGCGAGGCTAGCGGGAGAGCAGACCAGCCTCCGCACACTGGGAGGGGTGTGGAAGGAGAAGCGGGCGCTTAAAACGCTAGGCTAAACGTGGCGTCGAGTGGCCAGAGGGGAGGCGTGGTGCGGCGGCGCCCCAATGAGAAGTCTGTTCGCCTTGCCCTGGTGTGCTGGACGTTTTGCCTTAGAAACCGCAGGCTAGAAGATACCGAGCGCTCGGCAGTGCCATCCCTATCACGGCCTTGTTTTTTACAGGCCCAACGAAGGAACCACTTCTGGGAGCTCATTGAGGAAAGAGAGAACAGCAACCCCTTTGACAACGAAGAAGAGGAGGTTGTCACCTTTGAGCTGGGCGAGATGTTGCTTATGCTTTTGGCTGCAGGTGGGGACGACGACCTGACAGACTCTGAAGACGAGTGGGACTTGTTTCACGACGAGCTGGAAGATTTCTATGACTTGGATCTATAGCAGCTGCGCGTGGCGCGCGACCTGGGCCGTGCGCCGAGACAGTAGCTGTCCCCTGTGCTGGCGTGGCAGTGCTCGCGGCTCCCCTAGGCAGGCCTGTCAACTCCAGGTGCTGTCGTGATCATCTTTACCCAGGGCCTGTCCTCTCGACCCCTCACCTTTCCCCAAGGAGTGTGTTGTTTTCTCTGTTTAAAAAAGTTACAAAAATAAATCTTACAGTTAGTGTTTTTGTAACACAAATTTAACTGTCAGACAGTGTAGGTGTGTCACGTCATCTGTTCCCACCAGACTCGCAGCTGGAGGGCCGTGCCTCTGGCTCCTGGCTCCCACACTCACTCGCGCTGAGGCTCAGGCTCAAAAGTAGCAGCATGTGGGCCCTGCGCTGGGGCTCTGGGGTGGTGGGTCAGGGCTCGGAACCGGCCAGTCCCTGTCCACGACAGACAGCCGAGGTGGCTGCTTGAGGGCTTCGGTGAGCCCCGCAACATCTGTGTTTTTATCTGTCCCTCTCCCTGTGACCCTACCCTGTGCACTTGTTCTGTGGTTTTGGTCTCTTGTTTAATTGCACACAAGTAATACTACTGGGTAACCAGAACCAGGTGCGAATGTGTTGAGGTTTTTTACCAGGTTTAGCATGGTAGGAAGTTGTGAAAGACAACACCAGAGCTGGTGGCCCGAAGTCCACTCTGCCCGATGGGCTCGGCGCGTGCGTGCTGAGCCTCAGCCCGGCGGCGGTGCGGTGTTCTTAGCCTTAGTGGAGAGACTTGACTTAGTGGTTTCAGCCTAGTGTGGCAGATAGATCCTAAAAGACGAAGCCGTCTGTTGGTAGTTTCTAGAGCAGTGCTAGCTCTGTCTGTCTAGAGAAATGGGCTTAGCCATAGAGGCGGAATCTGGTTATCCCATATATTGACACAGACTGGGGTGCGCTACACAGTTGTGTTTTTGTCTCCTGATCCTCCAGCCTTTCCAGCCCAGGCACTTTTCGAGAAACCTTTGTCCTCTTTTGAAGGATTTTGTTGTTGGGTTTTTGTGTTTGTTTTTGTGGCTATTTGCCTCATTCCATCCCTGAGCTTTGCAGGCAGACCGGTGTGATGCAAAACTAGGTTCTCAGGTGTTTCTTGTAGTGGAGTCATTGGTTTGCAGTAATGAGGCAACGCTTTCCCCACCGAGGGGGTGATCCACAAGACCAGCTAAATTTCAGTCCTTAGATCCCTTGATGGGAAAGTTTAGCTTTACATTTTGTTGCTCTTTTCTCCTGAAAATAACTTGGAGATGCTCCTGATATGTCCACCCACTGCTCTGCTTCCTTGGACCCCACCCATTCTTTTACTTTGAGAAAAAAAACAAGTCATTGTTGCAGAGGTCTCTGTATTTTGCAGCTGCCCTTTTGTAAGAAGCACTTTTCCCAAATAAAACAATAAAAACCGTAAACCGGCTCTGTCTCGTGAGGTGAGCAGCCCTGGCATGCGCAGGTGTCCGGGTGGACCCGGGTCTGGGCACGGAGCCTTTCCTCATAGTCTGCTGGGTACTGCTGGGTGGGGAGAGGAGGGCCGGACCAGCCTGCTGAGAAGTGGCTGCAGTAGCTGGAAGCCGTCAGCTGGGGCCGCCCAACTGTTCCTCCATGCCAGGGTTTGGAGCCCTGGGCCGCCTGTCCCAGAGGCCTGTTGCAGCCGCCGGCGCTTGTACTGGGACTTTTTTTTTTTTTTTTTCTTTAAGATAGAACTGGGGTACAGGCCAGCAGTGTGGTAGGTGAGAAGATTTCACCAGAGATGGGAGCAGTGGAGGAGGCACTTTGAATTTCAGTCTCACCTGCTGCGCCATGCGGGTCACCTCTCAGCTGCAGTGGCTGCGGACAGCTTCATGATGCAGTGCTTTCACCCGTTGTACCACCGGGGAGGGCCCTGGTTTTGGTTTTTGTTGTTTTGATTGAAGTGAAAACCATTCTGCTGGAAGACCTCCTGTGAGCTTTTTGCAGTGCTTATTTGTAAAAATAATGCTCATTGGTTTTAGCATGCCAAGAATTTATTAAAGATGTTTCCACACCTAGGAGTTGTGCATAAATGTGATCATTGTAGCAGCTCATGTGCCAGTCGTTCCCTTGCAGAAGTGGCAAGAAGCCACCTTCAGCTGCTGCCAGCCAGGCCCTGTGAGGCCACGCACCCCCAGAGAAGGGGCACCCCCAGAGAAGGGGCGCGGGAGCACTGGACCTGCTTTTGGTGTCTGCAAGTGGGAGAGTTGGGGGTCCTGAAGCTGTGGTGGGACAGTGACCAGGAGGCCTCTGCACTTTGCTCCAGAGGGGTTGCCTACCTGAAAAGGCCACGACCACCTGCTGGGAAACTTCTCACCTCGCATGTACACAATCACCTGCCACCAACCACAAAGTGGTGTTGACATCTGCCACTGAGTCCTGGGGACATGCACAGGCTGTTTCAGAAGGGCGGGGGAGGGAGGAAGCAGAAGTTGCCGATGACCTGGGAGGGAGGTGCTGGTGTTAGTGAGGCTCCAGGGTGAGTGCCTGCTGCACCTGCTTTCCTTTCCCGTGGCAGTGGTGCCCCAGCCGGCACCTCAGAAGTGGCACAGCATCCTGACCTTGGAGGAAAACATGAGCAAGGAGCTAACAGGCTCAAGTCACTGAGACCTTGGGTCTTTTTCTCAGCGCCGTTAACAGCCTGTCCTGTGTTGACACCTGTTCAAAGAACTTAACTCACTTTTACAAGGGAAAGTAAAAGACATTTAAATAACCAGCTGGAAAAAAAAATAGCCGATTGAAATGGAAACTTCAGGTCCTCTTCAAGGCAACTGAGTTAAAAGCAAATGGCACTGAGCGAGTACACTGGGTTGGTGGACATCTGCAGACACTGCATGAAGTTAGGTTTGAAGCCAGTGCCAGGTACACTTCGGGCAAGCCTCAAACTGCTGGCTTTTCTGTCTGCCATCTGATAATGCGATTGGGAGTGTGTGTGGTTTCTGACGACAGACTTTGCTGCTGTGTCTGCGTAAGTCCGAAGCGTTTATTTGGCTAACTTGTAAGTGGGGGTGCTAACAGGTAGGCCTTTAAACAGGCCTCAAGCACTCGAAGCTGTTGCTGAGTATTTGCAGACTTGAAAAGCAAAAGGAAATGCTTTTTAAAACGGAATAGTAAACCTTAAGGGTTTTATCTGAAATGACTCTCAGAATGTCACTGTCTCCAAGGACTGTGTGTTACTAATTCCATGTTTTGATAACAGTGCTCTAGAATAAATCATCTTCACAGGACAGTACTTGTGGGAAGAAGAGACCTGATGCTGTTAGCAGGACACCTGAGATCTTGCCATCCTCATCACCACCTGATTTCAAAACATTTTCATCCCTATTCACTACCCATTTCTTTCCTCAGCCCTTGGCAGCCTCTGACCCCTGCAGTCAAGCCACAGAGATAAGCATCTGTCTCTAGATTTGGCTGTTCTGGACATCTCATATAAGTGGAATCATTCCATAAGTGCCCTCTTCTCACTGGCCTTGATTTTTCATGTCTTCAGGTTTATCTGTAGTGTAGCAGGTATCAGAACTTCATTCCTTTTCACTGCTGAATAGTATTCCACCATATGACTATACTACCTTTATCCGTCAGTTGATAGATTTTGGGTTTCCTTTGGTAGCTATTCTAAATAATGTGGCAGTGAACACGCGGACATATTCTTGTGTGGACATTACAGTTCAGCTTCTTTTGCATATAAACTGAAGAGTGAAATAGCTGGGTCATGTGGAAACCATGTCTTTACTTTTTGAGGACCCACCCAACTGTTTCCCTCAAGTGGGGCATTCCCACCAGTGATGTATGAGGATTCCAGTTTCTCCACATTCTCACCAACACTATGTCCATCTTTTTCTCTTACTGTCTTCCTGGTATTTGTGAAGTAGCATCTTGTGGCTTTGTTTTGTTTTGCATAGAACTTGGTTATAGATCATAGGTATGGGGTGGGGATTGAGAGGATTCACCAGAGACAGAGTAGGGAGCAGGACAGGTGGGCTTGATGAAACACTACTGAGGGGAGCAGTGGGTGAGATCGGAGACGTCTGCTGCCACATGGGTCAGCTCCCTGGCCAGGGATTCAACTCAGACCATAGCAGTCAGAGCACTGACATTTAACCCCTAGGCTACCAGGAAGGCCCTCTCATGTTTGTTTTTTTTTTTTAATATTTATTTATTTATGCTACAGGAACTAGGGTATAGGTCAGAGGTGCAGGAGGTGAGAGGATTCACCAGAAGGGAGTAGAACAAACAGGTCCACTTGAAATACACTGTTGAGGGGAGCAGAGGGCCAGACAGGATAAGTCTGCTGTGCATTGTGGGTCAGCTTTCTGGCCAGGGATCGAACTACTGCAGTAGCTGCAGACAGCTTCTTAGTCCTGCAGCCTAACCCAGTGGGCCATCAGGGAGGCCCTCTGTTGTGGTTTTGATGATGCCATTTTTCTGTGTCCTTGGCCTAACTGGAAATTAACTGTGCCCTGAAGTACTGTACCCTCAAAATCCTGTCCCAAAGAAGCCTGGGCTATCATTCCTCTAAAGCCACTTTTATATTGGACCATTTGTGCCATAATTTCAAGTCCCTGCCACCTACATTTAACACTTCAAATAATTCATAAAGCTTTATAAGGCACATTCACAACTCAGTGTATCCTCAGGAGTCTATTAGGTAGTTTAGGCAGGAACTCATCTCATTGTTGCAAATGAAGACAAGAAGTTTCAGAGTTAACTGCCCCACCATCAAATACAATGACTAAGTGGTAGACAGATGGCTTTGGACCCCATGTCCGGGTTCCTTTGTACAGGTCAGCTGTCCACTTCCTCTGTGGACCTCGCTCACTTTTCTAGGAGACTCTTAACAAGACTTACGTTCTTCACCATCCTATAGTTCTCTGTGACTTCAACATGTTTGCTCTTGGCCCTGTAAAGTCCTAAACCTCAAGGTTTGAGGTGATGATTTCTCCTTTTTTGATTATGTTTATTTACATCAAGAGACTCATCTAAGACTTGTAGCTTCTTGCAAAGTATATATTTAGTTCAGATCCTACAGATTACAAGTACAGGCAGAAGATAACCCGTAATACCCTCTAGCATACAGCCAAGTCTGAGATGTCAGTGCCTTCATGGATGGCTTGTTAACCGTACTCAGGGAGAGTGTCCCAAGGGCTAGTAGTTTAAGTGATGATTGAATTCTTACAGCAATCTGAGGTTAGTGGTCTCTTTTACAATAGAGGAAGCTAAAACAGGCTAAATCATTTGCCTGTGGTTTCACAGTTGATAACCCATGAAGCAGCCTTCCAACTTGGGCCCTTCTGACTAGAGGCCAGAAGCAAGCAGACTGTGCCTCATGGGCCCTATCATCCTACCAGAGCACATTCCCAAAGATCAGTAACGTTCTTGCCCAATTCAGGAATTTTTGTAACCTCTGCTGTCTCAGCAAATCACAAGCCTCTTCCCTTGGTTTCTTACAGCAATAGAAGGAGTTTATCATCTCCCTCAGTCTTTAATATTAATTGAACACCACGCTATTCATGTCAAGGACTGGTGGTTGTTGTTTTTTTTTCCTTCCCTATTCTGTATTGTACCAATGGGCCAATACTCTTGTAAAAGACAATAAACATGAATCAGAAAACATACAGTCAAAAAAGCCCTTCAAGGGCCTCCCTGGTGGCACAAGAGGTTAAAGCAAAACACTATGAAGCTGTCCATAGCCACTGCAGCACAAGTTCAATCCCTGGCCAAGGAGGTGACCCACAGGGCGTAGCAGACCCCTCCTGACCCTCCCGCTCCTCTCCTCAGCAGTGTGTTTCAATAGATCTGCTTGTTCTGCTCCCTACACTGTCCCTGGTAAAGCCCTCACCTCCAACACCTCTGGCCTGTACCCCAGTTCTGGTATGCATAAATATATATACATATATTTTTTTTGATGAGATAGGATAGCTTTTTGGGGGTTATTTCTGTTTTTTTTAATTTATGCATACCAGAACTAGGGTGCAGGCCAGAAGTGCAGGGATGGGGGTTGGAGGGAGTAAGAGGATTCACCAGAGACAGTGGGGAGCAGAACAGGCAGATCTACAGAAACACATTGCTGAGGGGAGCAGCGAGCGAGACAGGAGAGGTCAGCTCCCTGGCAGGCGATGGAACTCAAGCTGCAGTGGCTGTGGACAGCTTCACAGAGCTGCAACTTACCCACTTATACCACCAGGGAACCTCCCCACCCCAGGTGATGTTAATATTCTTAAGCTTTCCTATCATTTTTTCATTAGTGTGTAGCTGAAGAAAAATAATTGTTAAAATGTATATTGAGGGAAAAAAAAGGGCTTTTATAAAACCAGTGTCCCATCCTTTTCCTCAACAAATTATTTTCTAGGTTGTTTTAAATAACTTAGTAACTTCCTTAAGGATCAAAAAAATAAATTCAGTGTTTTTGCATTGAATATAATGGTTAAGGATAAAAAGAAAATGCCTGGCTGATACATTATTAAAGATTGTTTTATAAAATTCATTTAAAATGCAATTTCTTTCTCCTTTTGCCCTTTGAGCTCATTAAAAAATATTTTAACGGCCCTCCCTGGTGGCGCAGCGGGTTAAAGCACAGCACTGAGAAGCTAAAGCCACTTCTGTATGAGTTCGATTCCCGCCTGTCCCAGAGGTGACCACATGGCGCGGCAGACCTCTCCTGACCCGCCCGCTGCTCCCCTCAGCAGTGTACTTAGTCGATCTGCCTGTTCTGCTCCCTGCTCTGTCTCTGGTGAATCCTCTCGCTGCCCCTGAGCCTCTGGCCTGTACCCCAGTTCTGTATGTATAAATAAATAAATCTTTAAAAAAAATTTTTTTTAGCACCTTTAGTGGGATGTACTTCAGGTTATCCTGTTTGCTCACTTAAAATGCACAATGTGTGGTTTGGGGAATATTGCGACATTAATTTTTTATCTATGGTGGTGAAATATATGTAACAAAAATATTAACCATTTTAAATGGACTATTTAGTGGCATTAGTTGCATTCATAATATGTGATTATTACCAGGAGAGCAATTCTTTACTTGTATTTAAATATACTCAGATTTTTTCCACTTGAGTTATCTTCATTGGTTATTTCTATTTATACTAAAATATTGCTGAATTTAGAAATAACCCACTTTGGGGTTTGGAAACAAGTAGACAATAAAGTGTAGATCGGTGACTGTAACACAGATACCTTGGGGTTATGTTGAGCGATTATATACACAAGGCTTTCAAAAACAAGTGGTTTGGTATTTTGACAAATGTTCTAGCTTATATTTTTGTAATTGGGAATTTTGTTTCTAAATTAGGTGAGATGGTTTCAGGCTGCTATTTGCAAGCAACTTTAGAAAAAGGTACACATTATGAATGGATCACTTTTATTCTCCCGAAGTGAAAAACAAATTGAATATAATCTTTCCTCTGTGTTCTCTTAACTGTTGGTCTCTCGGGTGCTAAAGATCTTAGTTAGTGGTCTCCCTGGTGGCTTCGAGGGGTTAAGTCTCAGCATTAATAAACAGTTCATAGCCACTTAGCACCAGTTCGATCCCTGGCCAGAGAGGTGACCCACAGGGCGCAGCAGACCTCTCCTGTCTCCCCACTGCTCCCCTCAGCAGTGCATTTCAGTAGATCTGCATGTTCTGCTCTCCACTCTGTCTCAGGAGAATCCTCTCACCAGCCCCCACACCCCAGACCTGCATCCAGCTCTTGCATGCATAAATAAATTAATTAAAAATATATCTCTTAATATGCCATTAAGAAATAATGGTAAGTAAATGTGACATATGTTGTGTGAAGAGTGATCAATCTTTGGATGATTTTGTAGAATTATCGCCTATTCTGTGCTTCATTTTTTATTTTTAAAGATTTTATTTATGCATACAAGAACTGGGGTGCAGGCCAGAAATGTGAGGGTGAAAGGACTCACCAGTGACAGAGAGGGGAGCAGAACAGGTGGATCTACTGAAATACACCGCTGAGGGGAGCAGTGGAGAGAAAGGAGAGGCCTACTGTGTCCTGTGGGTCAGCTTCCCGGCCTGGGGTAGAGCTCATGCCACAGTGGCTGGTGTTAGCATGATAGTGCTGAGACTTTAACCCCTGTGTCACCAGCGAAGCCCCAAGGGCCAGATTCTTGCCAAGGGAACTTGCAAGTTAGCCCAGCACTCTTAGGGCTGAGATGGTTCCTGAAACATGTGAAAGAAATTGATCAGGCCCTCCCTGGTGGCACAGCAGGTTGGAGCACAGCACTGTGAAGCTGGTTGTAGCCACTTCAGTGCAAATTTGATCCCCAGCCCCAGAGCTGACCCACATGGCACAGCAGACCTCTCCTGTCTCCCCGTGGCTCCCCTCAGCAGTGTACTTTGTCGATCTGCTTGTTCTGCTCCCTACTGTCTCTGGTGAATCCTCTCATCAGCTCTGCATCTCTGGCCTGTACCCTAGTTCTGTATGCATAAATAAATAAATCTTAAAAAAAAAAAAAATGGCCTTAAGTTTCACCTGAAGTGCCAGCCTGACATCACCCCACCACCATCCTCCCAAAAGCTTACTCTGTAAGAGCCTGAGAAGAGCCCCTAGCTGCTGGCCCACACCCTGTGAAGTCAGGGCATGAAGAGTATGGGGAGAAATAAAAGGTATTAAGAAGGTAAAAAGACGCAGGTAAACTTTAACAATATATTTTATTTCACCTAGTATATGTAAAATATTACTTTAACATAATCAACATAAAAATGCTTAGTTAAGATACTTGACTTTCTTTTTATTTTTTCGTACTGCGTTCAAAACCCAAAGTGTATCTTGTTTGTGTATCTGAACTCCTCTCAAATTTGAGTTAGCCACATCTCAAGTACTCCAAGTGGTTGGTGGCCATCTGTTTGCTGCCAGTCTTAGTGATACTAGAGAGGCCAGAGGTGTCACCGGGGCCAGAGGTGACCCCCCCACAGACAAGGCCCCTTGCAGAGTCAACATGTGGCTGGCTCAGCCCTTCTGGTCTTACAGGACAGAAGACAGACGCACCACAGCAGCTACCATTGGGGAGCTGTGGAAACACAAGGTTTACTACATTTCCAGAAGCTTCACAGGCACCTGGGGTGATGCAGGAAGGTCAACACTGGCTTTATTTTCATTTATGAGTCAATTTAATTTCAGCCGAGAAATGACTGCTGATCCAGCAGAGAACTAACTGGGTGACTTTGAGACTGGGGGCCTCTCCCACATCTAGAGGGTGGTCAAGTCCAACTGGAAACAGTTGGGGCCAATTCTCTGTCCATCACGTGGCTGCTGTCCATCATTTGGCAAGACAGTATTTATGCTGTTTACGTCCATCAAAAGGCTTCACCCCAACTAAAGACTGGAGGTGTGACTGAGGAAGACAAAGATAGCACTAGAAGCTTCCCCTGCCCCCAGGCCTGGGCCATGCCAAGCACCCACTTCCCTTTCTTCATTTTTCTCTTTTCTTCATTCCTTCACTGCCTTCTTCAAGACAAACAAGCAGAAAACGGCGGGAGGGGTGGGGAAACTATGAAAAAGAGCAAACCTTGTTCTACTCAGAACTGGAGTCCTGACTTCACCGGGCAAAGTGAAGAAAAAGCTGCGTCCTCAGAGCTGCCGGTTGTGGCCAATGGTGTGAGCGGAGGCAGATGGGCTACTGGCCTCCAGAAGGAGTCAGAGAGTCAAAGCAAGCTACACTTTGGTCCTGATGCTTCGCAGCAGGCTAGGCTAATGGGTGAGGTTGGTTTCAGAGATGGCCGCTGGGCGGCGCAGCAGACCTGGCCACACTCAGCAAGAGCAGTAGGTCTTGTAGCTGGGCCCCTGGGCTGTGAGAACTGGGCTGGACTCCAGGGGGAGGATGCTGAGGGCGCTCTCCCCATAGGAGTGCAGTCTGTTGCGGGCCATCAGCTCCTTGGCCATCAGCAAGAAGACGTTGTCTATGTTCTTGGACTCTTTGGCAGACGTCTCCAGAACAGCAAGGAGATGGTGTTTCTCAGCCAGGGTGCAGGCATCCTCAAAGAGAACGTGCCTTTTCCCCCACAAGTCAGATTTGTTCCCTGAGAGTAAGAGAGAGACCAGTATGAGTAATGTCATCTTCAAGTGAACATTTAAAAAGACCATTTTAGAGGCCTCCCTGGTGGCCTAGGGTTAAGTCTCAGCACTATCTCTGCCAAGGCCCAACACGATGGCCTGAGTTTGATCCCCAGCTAGGGAATTAAACCATAAACCACATATAGCACAGCAGACCTCTCCTGTCTCGCCTGCTGCTCCCCTCAGCAGTGTATTTCTGTAGATCTGCCTGTTCTGGTCCCTACTCTGGTGAATCCTTTCACCCTCCTCTCCACACCTCTGGCCTATATCCCAGCTCTTGTATGTATAAATAAATAAAAATAAATCTCATTAAAAAAAGCGCTGGAGAGAAAGCAGAGAAAGAGAATACTCTTACACTGTTAGTGGGAATATGAATGGGTGAAGTCACTTTGGAAGGCCATCTGGATTTACCTTAAACAACTAAAAATGGAAATATATATGACTCAGCCATCTCACCCTTAGGCATCTCGCCAAGGAACAAGAAACCACACAGCTCAAAAAACAAACTGGAGGCTCTACATTGCTTATTGCAGCATTATTTACAATAGCTAGGACGTAAAAACAACCCAAGGGTCTGCTGAGAGAGGCCTGGATTAAGAAGACAAAGTCTAATCACACAGTGGAACACTCTTCAGTCCTGAGGAAAGATGACATGTTGTCATTTACTGCAAAATGGAAGGAGTTCAAGGGAATAGTGTGTAGTAAAACAAGTCACAAAGACAGGCGGTATTGGGTATTGGCACAGCAGACGATTTGGCAAGGCAAAGCCTGTGGGCACTAACAAACCAAGTGAGGCTTCCAAGCTGAAGGGGGTGGGAGGTGCGGGGAAAAGGTCAGTGGGGTAAAGTGGAGATGCATGGGTCCAACCCTAAAGAAAGGGGTTCTTCATCATGTTAGGGAGACAAGAGAAACACATGGACAATTAAACAGCTATGCAAGAATTTACTAGTCCTAGGAAACAGGATCTCGAACCGGAAACCAGGCCACAAAATACACTATATGCCAAGAACCAGGGCTGACCGGTCCAACTGTTAATAATACAGGTATACTATCCTTAACTGTGTCTCATGCATCCAAACCCCAATGTTTTTTCTAAAAAGATTGATTTATTTTTGCATACAGAACTGGGGTACAGGCCAGAGGTGTGGGGGCGTTAAGAAGATTCGCCAGAAACAGAGTGGGGAGCAGAACAGGCAGATCTACTGAAACACACTGCTGAGGGGAGCAGCGGGGAGACAGAAGAGGTCTGCTGCACCCTGTGGGTCACTCCCTGGCTGGGGCTCGAACTCTCACTGAAGAGGCTACCGCTAGCTTGCCGTGCTGCATCCTAACCCGTTGTGCTACCAGGGAGGGACTGAACCCCGATGTTTTTTGGTAATTCATCTGAGAGTAAAATCTGCCTTGAACTGGTCACTTCAAGATTTTATTCCTCCCGCTTTGTATGGCCAGTCAGCCATGCCACGGTGTAAATATTAATACATCTGATCTGACGAGGCCGTCGGCCCAGACTCCATGAGGGTCAGGTAACACGAAGGCGCCCTTCTAAGCTCTTTAGACCTAAAGGTTCTTGTTGAGAGCCCATGAGCCTGTGACTGTAACAGAAGCCTAAGTGACAGGTCTGCCAGGATCTTAGGGGGACGAATAGCAGATGCCAGGGAAGGGTGAGACAGAATATCCAGCAAAAGGGAATGCGTTTAAGCCCTTACCTGAGGGAGAGTCTAAGGGGTTAAGATTCCAGAAACAGAACAGAGGGGTGTGAGGAAAGAAGGGATTTTGGATCAACACCGCAAAGACGTAGACAAGAAATGGTTTGAAAATAACAAGTCCAGAAAAAAAAAAAAAAAGAAAGAAAATAACTAGTCCAGGCCCTCCCCGGCACAACGGATTAAAGCGCAGCACTGTGAAGCCAGCCACAGCCGCTTCAGCGTGAGTTTGATCCTGGCCAGGGAGGTGACCCACAGGGTCCCTCCCTGCCCTGCCCGCTGCTCCCCTCAGCATTGTGCTTGTCAACCTGTCTGTTCCGCTCCCCGCTCTGTCTCTGGTGAATCCTCTCACCCCCACCTCTGGCCTGTATCTCAGTTCTTGTATGCATAAATAAATAAATCTTAAAAAAAGAAAATACCAAGTCCTTTCTAGAATTGTGATAGCAAAAATGCACAGGTGTTTGAGCCAATGGTTTTTGCCAACAGCCTCTGCCTTATGACCCAGCCCAAGCTGCATCCTGGGACCCCTCCACTCCTAGGTCCAGTCGTTTGTCCAGGGTGGGCCCCTCGCCCAGGCCTCTCACCCTTAAGTTGGCCAGCAGCCCGGGCCAGGCTTTGCCGTGAAGAGAGGGAATGGGGTAGCAGAGGCCCCTTTCTGAGCACCGGAAACCGGCGGATCCAGTAGCTGGGGCCGGCGCTTTGAGCCTCCATGAGGAAAGGTTTGGGGTGAGAAGGAGTGGCAGGCCCAGGCTATCCTGGACTTCAGAAGCAGCTGAGAGGGGGGAAACAGCTGCAGGATGGAGGACAAAGAGGCCCGTTCCTAGGGTCCCACTCTGAGAAGAGGGTCCCCAAGTTATCGCTTGTTGGTGAAGAGTCCTGGCTCCACTGTGGGTCCCTGCTCTGGCTGGGGCACAGCTGCTGGCGTTTCCTAGATCCCAGGGACTGGCACCAGGGGACACAACGTGCCCCGCTCTGTGATTTGAAGACCAGCAATGACTTAGCTGCTTCAAACCAATGAACCAGCCAAAAAACAACGTGCCAGGCGCTGTGGAGTCAAGTCCATAGATCATGTCATTAAATGTCCACAAAAGCCCACTGCTGGCATCTTATAGACAAGGAAACTAAGGTGCAGGGGCTGGGAAACACTTGTCAGTGAGAAGTCAGCTCACACGTGGAACGCCGCCCTCTCTTCCGGTCCCACAGGGCTTCGGGACCTGTGCACAAGAGGATCCTGTTAGAACGAAGATCCCTTTTCGGGGAGCTCTGGCCCGCTGAGCACCTGACGCTGCGGTGCGTGGCCCACACGAGGGCAGGGTCGGAGCCAGCCTGCCCAACCGAAGCAGCTGCTTGATGAACAGTGCCCCTGAGAGGAAGGAAGAGTGGCTCTTCTTGCAAAACTAAAGAGAAGTGACCGAAACACTCATTTTCCTGAATGTACCTAGGGCCCCTCATGCGCGCCGGGAGTTCACTTTGTGTGGCCCAAGTTGGTCATTTTGACGCCTCCGTGGGTCCTAATCAGTGTAAGAAGGCACTTGAGAGCATCGTCGCTGTAGTTCATGCCAGGGCTGCCCCTGGGAACCTCAGAGCACAGATACTTCCTGAGTGTGTGTGTGAGAATCAGCTGGGCATGCCTTCCTCGAGCGGCCCTGGGCCCTGCCCCAGGCCTCCGGAAAAAGAAACTCTAGGCTGGGCCTTGGACTATGCATTCTTAACACGTTCTTCCTCCCTCACCTCCCAGTTCTCATTCTCAGATGAATCTGATGGGAATTTCTGGACCAGATGCTTTCTGAGGTCCTGTTCACCCAGTGCCCTTATTTAAAAAAATATATTTATTTTATTTATGTATGCATACAAGAGCTGGAATGCAGGCCAGAGGTGCGGGGTTGAGAGGATTCACCCGAGACAGAGTGGGGAGCAGAACATTGCCAAAATACAGTGCTGAGGGGAGAGGCGGGGAGGCAGGAGAGGTCTGTGGGGCCATGTGGGTCAGCTCCCTGGCTGGGGATGGAACTCATGCCGCAGTGGGTGCAGACAGCTCCACAGTGCTGAGACTTAACCCCTAGGCCACCGGGGAGGCCCCAGCGCACTTATTAATGAGCTATGTCCCGTGCCTCCAGGGGCATGTGGAAAGGGGCGTCAGCGAGGGGCCAGTAAAGGAGAGTGAGATCCCATACCGATCAGCATGATGGGCAGGTTCGCTGCTCCGTATGTTTCTATCTCGTTAATCCACTGGGGAACAGACTCGAAGGTGGACCTCCGGGTGACGTCGTAGGCAATGATGGCCGCGTGTGCGCTGCGGTAGTAGCTGTGGGTGATGGCCCGGAAGCGCTCCTGGCCCGCTGTGTCCCACACCTGCATCTGCAGCAGGGCAGGAAAGGGGACGAGCGTCAGGAGCCTGACGGGCCTTGCCCACTTGGGTCAGCTGAGAAAAGGCTTCCCTGGCTTCATCTCTCTATGCCCAGATTCAGGAAATTTGGGAGGGAGGTGTACAGCGAGGGGGGTTTTCAGCAGCTCCCCAGGGGGATTTGGATGGGCTTTCAGGACTGGAGGGTGGGGTTAATGTCCCCCAGTCTGTGTTCTTTTCGGTTTCAGTCCTGGCCAGATCACTGCTAACAAACAAAGTAACTGTAACCTCAGTCGACCCTGTGGCCAGATCACTGCTAACAAAGTAACCATAACCGTGTGGTGGCCAGACCATCCTACAATTTCCCACATTGTTTCCTAAACGTCCTTGTACTATCATTTCTATTTAATCAGGAGCCTAAACGGACCCAGCTATTAGTGTATTTCACTATTGCTTTTTGCTCTTTCTCTAATCAAGCAAGAGCAAATTCCTCACGCTATTTCAATTTGCACTTTAGTTAGGAGTGAGGGTTTCCACCTTTACAGAAGTTCTTATAAAGTTTGTGGTCAATCTGTGAACTTCCTGCTTTTGGATCTGGTTGCTGTTCTTAGACACACTTCAGGGCTCTTATCTGAGGCAAGACACTAGCCACTTGTCAAGTTCCATATCTGCTAACATTCCAGTTTGTCATTCATCTTTTCACCTTTTTATGGTCGCTGAGGGTGTTGAAATTTGACCTTTGTCTAGTTATATAGAAACAAATATATTTGACCTTTAGATTGTTCAATCGAACACTATTTTCCTTTATGGTCTCTCTTGCTTCTAAACACGCCTCCCCCCGCCCTCCCATACGTCCACGCTTTCCTGTTTTAGGTTGAAACTGTTACTCTGCTGCCGCGCGCTGTGCCGGGAGCCCTGAAGCCCACCCACGCTGACCTTCACTTTCTTGCCATCGACGTGGAGGGAACACACAGTGAAGTCCACCCCGATGGTGCTGTACCGGACCTCCGAGTAGACCCCGGACCGGAAGTGCTGCACCACACACGTCTTCCCCACGTTGGAGTCCCCGACCAGGATGATCTTGAACAAATAGTCGAAGTTCTCCTCCTCTGCCTTGGCTGAGCTGAACTGCATGGCTCCTACCTGGCTGACCAGACCTAGATGAAAAGGAATTCGGCATCTAGCGGGCATCTCCGAGACGCCAGACACCGTTGCAGGCACTCGGGATGCAGGAGCGGATATGATGGGTGGTCACAGCACTCACATCTTGGTGGGAGAAAGGGCACGTGAGCACTGGTCCCCCACCCCCCACCCACACTCCGCCTCCCCTTGCAGGGGCCCAGGGCATGGCAGGGTGGCAGAGGAGACACGGCGTGGGCTCCTCTCCGCTCCACGTGAGCAGAGGGAAGCGCCCCAGCGAGGCCCAGGAGGCGGCCTTTGCAGGCAGCCAGCAACAAGGGTCAGCGAGACCTTAGGGGAAAAGTGATGCAGCCTTTTTCTCCTAACAGGCACCAGATTTTTCTGAAGCAGGAACTTGGAGATTACTCAAAATGAATCTTGTGGTCTGAATGTAATTTCTATGGCGAGGTTCCCCAAATTAATCGTTCTCATAAGCCTTATCGTTATCAAGTTGTCTGGGGAAAATAATTAAAATGATACGTCTCTGGAGCCCACCAGAGACCTGGTAAATATATTTGAACACCACACACAAGTACATGTTTCTTGGGGACTCTGATAACCAGTCAGGTTTAGGAAACTTTGGTCATGCAATCACTCACCTGAAACTATAGCGCAACCCCCACGTCTTGGTTTAACTATTCACTTGTGCGTCAATGTCTCAGATCATGAGAAACTTGCTACCTCCTTAAAAAAAATCCATTTTGTGCCCCTCCCTGGTGGCGCAACGGATTAAAGCACAGCACTAAGAAGCTGAAACCACTTCCGCATGAGTTTGATTCCCGCCTGCCCCGGAGGAGACCACATGGCGCGGCAGACCTCTCCTGGCCCGCCCGCTGCTCCCCTCAGCAGTGTACTTCGTCGATCTGCCTGTTCTGCTCCCCACTCTGTCTCTGGTGAATCCTCTCACCCTCCGCATCTCTGGCCTATACCCCAGTTCTGTATGAATAAATAAATAAATTAAAAAAAAATCCATTTTGTGGGAGCAGCTCTAACCCATGGGTGAAATCTGTCTCCCTGGAGTTTTGTCTGTTGACTTTCCTGCGAAGCTGGGGTATGCAAATCTCAATTCCACACATGACAGCCCATGAGATATTTGAAGCAATGACCAGAACCCTTGAAGGCGAATGTCCCTGCGCCCTTCATAACAGTTGATACTGGTAGGTCTCCTTGTCAAAGGCCTCATGCCATGTGACTAAGGTTGATAGGCTGTGCATTGCTCTTGCCTTCTGCCTGACACCCTTCTTCATTTCCCCAGTTTTATTCTCTGGTATTCTTTGTTGTCATAGAAAAGGACAAGTTTCTGTCATCACCCAAGTTAAAATGCACATAATCTCTACTCTATATGTAAACCCTGAAGCTTTAAGAGCAGGAAGAAGGATCTCATCTCATCTCCTCTGTCTCTCTCCCACAATCTCACTTCTTCTCTCTCTGATGCCTCCAAAGTCACAATCTAGCAGACAAGAGACACAGTCAACAGCTCCCCTTCCTTTTCTGACTTTTTAAAAAAGAAAGTTGGCCCTCCCTGGTGGCGCAGCGGGTTAAAGCACAGCACTAAGAAGCTAAAACCACTTCAGCATGAGTTCGATTCCCGCCTGCCCCGGAGGTGACCACATGGCGTGGCAGACCTCTCCTGACCCGCCCGCTGCTCCCCTCAGGAGTGTACTTCGTAGATCTGCCTGTTCTGCTCCCCACTCTGTCTCTGGTGAAGCCTCTCACCCTCCACATCTCTGGCCTGTACTCCAGTTCCATATGAGTAAATAAATAAATCTTAAAAAAGAAAGTCATTCCACTTCCGGTGACTTATCACTACAACTTGAGCTTAAGCCTTAGTTCCATGTCCCTCCGGAGCCCCCCAAAAGTCCTTAGGGTTTCCACACAGCCAGTCTACCTTAGCCTATGCCCCTTGGAGGAGGAGGACGAGCAGCGGCCCCCAGAGCCCTCCACCTCCCATCCGCAGCCCTCACCTGCCCAGTTCATCTATGGCACACCTCTCCTACTCTGCACCTCTGCTGGCAGGTAAGGTTTTCTTTCTCTCCTTGTTTCCCTTTTCGGCTCGCGGTTCTCCTTCCTCCTGCTTCGCCGCAGCGCGTGGTGTGAGCTGTAGCTGTTTTCCGGTGGCAGGTTTGGCGGCCTCAGAAAGCGAAAGGGAAGTGCCAGCCCTCCCACCTCTCCTGAGCTCGAGCTGCCTCTGGGGAGGAGGCCCGGGGAGCGCTGGGCAGAGACGAGGCGGCAGCACACAGTCCACTTCCCCACCCAACAAACACACAGCTCGTTGGAAGGACGGAGCAGTTAACTCAGCCAGTGCATGTGCGTCGGACGCTGCCTCGTTCCTGCTTTCTGTGCACCCTTTCCCCGGCACCCCTTGCTGGCTTGGAGGAAGTTCTGCAGGAGTAAAGGGGTGCAGCTCTGGCTTTTGTCATTTAATTGCTTTGGGGGCTTGAATAGCTTTTTTTAGGAGCCACTGAGAGAAAGGAGGAAATTCAAAACTAAAAACTGAATTTGCATGGGAAGAAGGCGCTGGGGGAAAAAGTCTGTATTCCTTCCCCGTCCCCCTCCCTCCTCCCCCCAAATCTACTATAAGAAAGGTTGATTTCTAGCTCTGAGAATACTTCCTGGCTCCCTAGTGCTGGCAAGAGAAGCCTAAAGCTGAATTTTTCTTATTTTTAATCCCAGAGTCTAGAAGAGTCTGCAGATAAGACACACAGTCCCCACCACTGCCCCCACATTTAACTGACTTTTCAAAGTAATTTCACCTGCCTGTGTCTTATCACTGTAACTTGAGAGGTAACTTCTCATGTCCTAGGGACTAGCTTTTCTCCACTACATACGGAGTCTGTAACATTTGGACGGTGGAGCTCTAGACACAGTGAGCAAAGGAGAGATCCACGATGATAAAATATTTAAATTGGCCTAGTATTTCCTAACTGTGCGCTGAGACCTATTCATGAGTCATGAAATCAATTTTAGCGGTTTGCAATCAGCATTTTTACAAAAGTGATGAGCAAAACACTTTAGATTGTATCTCATGGAGAGAGGGTAAGCATTGTTTTATGAAAAGTCTGAATTAGTTGTACCTAGCATGTGCCTATCGGGGAGAAGTAAAGTGTATTTCCTGTTCCTAGGTGGATGTTTAAAAAGATTGAGAAACACTTACAGGACAATTTCTTCACTCCCCAAGATGATTTTCTCAGCTAACCTTTAAAATGTGACTATTCTCACCTCAAATTCTATCTATACATTGACTTGCAGGAATCTCTCTTTTGGGTAAAATAAACCCAAGCTGGTGGGTAGAGTAAGACAGTAAAAGACATTGCTACATGCTCTGTTGCAGGACTTGAGACCCAACCCCGTGTCTGTGACTTGGAAAAGAAATGTTGCTTAAGATCCACCACAATGTTTGGACAGGGTGGCGGAAAGAATACCCACCAGACAGCAATGTCAGCCAGCCCTTAGGTTTTAAATGGGTCTTTCTTCTGAAATGGTGACTTTGAAAGGAAATAACCAGCCGGCCCTCCCTGGTGGCTCAGCGGGTTAAAGCACAGCACTAAGAAGCTAAAGCCACTTCAGCATGAGTTCGATCCCCGCCTGCCCCAGGGGTGACCCACATGGCGCAGCAGACCTCTCCTGGCCCACCCGCTGCTCCCCTCAGCAGTGTACTTCATCAGTGGGCCTGTTCTGTTCCCCACTCTGTCTCTGGTAAAGCCTCTCACCACCCCTGAACCTCTGGCTTGCATCCCAGTTTTGTATGCATAAGTAAATAAATCTTAAAAAAAAAAAAAAAAGAAAAGAAAAGAAAGAAAGAAAAGAAAAGAACCAGCTACTCAGACCCAGCAACTGGAGAGCATCTAGAAGCAGGAATTAAATGGTAAAACATCTCCATGGCTACGGAAGTCAAGGAGAAAAAGATTCTGCCCCTCACTGGCCCTCTGCTAAGGGGATGAGTGTACAAAGTATAGCTTGGGTGATGGGAAGAAAGGCATTCTTAACCTAAATTTATGTAGACATGTGCATGCAGACACACAAATGCACACTTACTATTTCAACTGTATTAAGTAAGTGTTCTCTTCAATGGTATAAAGCATATTCAAACTGCTGTGCTATCATCCTCTCTAAAATCTTTTTATCATTCCACCTGAAACTCTATGCCCATTAAAGAATAACTCCTATCTCCCCCTGTCCTGCTCTCTTTCCCCATGAATTTGACTATCCCAGGAACTTCATCTAAATGGAATCCTGTAACATTTGTCCCTCTGTGTCTGGCTCATTTCACTCAGCACAATGTTTTCGAGGTTATCCGTCTGGTAGGTATTAGAAAGTCATACCTTTTTAAAGGCTGAATAATATTCCACAACACATTTTTAAAAATAAAAGTGAAACGTTTGATTTTTTTTTTTGCTCAACCTGACATCACTCACCATCCCACCCCTACACACAGATGACTAGAAACCAAACTACCACAGCATTGTGCAAATACAAATATGAATGAAATATAAGGGGCTTCATTCTCCAACTTGAAAATAAGGGAGGAGACTCCACTCTCCCTTTCCTTTTAAGATTTTTTTCTCTGTCCAAATATGTGTCTATCTTTATAACGGCAAAATAATCTCTGACAAGTCTTACATCAGGAAGGTTGCTCCCAGATCCTAGGATCCATCTTTTGAAATGCGAGTATCAAGGGAGGTACTGCTCCCAAGCCTATAACCTAGGTGACCACCACCCCAAGTTCCCCTGGGAGGGTAAAAACTCATATTCCTGCGGGTGCCTTGCTCCATTTTGCAAAGCTGTCTTATGTCCCAAAGGCACGAGAAGTTGGTTTCTTCTCTGGATAAACTAACACTGGTGGTGTCTCCAGGCACCAAAATAAAGTTAGGAAGGACTCAGTGGGACAAAGGCCATGTCTTCTTATTTAGGGACTAGTGATTGCTTATGCTGAGAATGCCCAGTAATGGCTTGTGTCTGCCAGCCTATAAAGGGAAAAGAGCCCTTTCTGTCTGCATTTCTCAGCAAGTTGCCTTTAATACACATCACATTCTGGTTTAATGCTTATTCAGTAACAAAACTGTTTTCTTCCTCTTCTACCTTTGTGGAGAGGTTTTTCTGGGCTTGGAACATTATTTTTAAAACATTCTATTTTGCAAGCAATTGAAACAGAGTGCAAGAGGACAGAGGGTCTTCTTCAAAGCCCTGAACCTCCTTTAATTTTTGCCTGAGGAATCCAGGATCTTAAGGTTCACCTATTTCTTAGGTGGGTGGGGTGGGGTGCAGAAAAGTGAATGATACTGATCTTGCCTGCTTGGCAGCTGCAGTTAATGAACTTAAACAAAAATATAGAACTTATGCTTAGCAACCCCCCTCACCCCCCCCCCCACAGGTCAATAGCACACTTAGAACCTTCTTTCCATAACAACAAAGAGCGGATTAAAGATTTTTTGGAAAAAAAAAAAAAACACACACACACACAAAACAAAAAACATGATCTATACAGCATTGGTCCTCAGACTATTTTTTATCTGTCCCTTACAGTCTTTTTCCAACTAACATACCTGGCCGGTGTCTCCCTGCCCAGCAGCCGGGTTCAGGGAGGTGTCCGCTCTCGGCTGGCACCACTCCCGTCCTCCCGCGCCCGTTCCCGCCCTCACATCCCGGCAGGTGAAGCCGCGCGGCCGAACTACAACTCCCGGCATGCCCCGGGAAGGGCGGGTCACGTGAGCGCCCGGAAACCCTGGCCGCCGCGCTGGGCTGAGGTGGCGGCGGGGGCGGCGGG